TCTTGTAACAAAAAGAGCCCGCTTCTTCATTGCTCGGGGCATGACGGGCGACATGGCCCCCGCTCCCCCCCACCCACCCCTATGACGTAACGCTCCCCCCCCAATGCGCTCCGGGCACTGCTGCCGTGCGCAATGGGATCCGCGTAGGTGTCCGCGTAGGAATCCGCATAGGAGTTTGGTCCGCAGTCGTCGTCGTCGTCGTCGTCGTCGTCGTCGTCGTCGTCGTCGTCGTCGTCGTCGTTCGTCGTCGTCGTCGTCGTCGTCGTCGTCGTCGTCGCTCGTGGCTTGGCGCTCGTCGCTCATAGCTGTCGTGCGCGCGGACGTTTTTTTATATCTATTCCGGGCCGATGACGGCAATCATCTAGTGGGGGGGTGGAGGGGGGCGATTACGTCATGTTTCGCTCCGGCGGCGTCTGGGAATGCTGAGGAATGACGGAGGCAGGTGGCGATTTGCACCACAATGCCTGTGTACACCGCAGTGCTTGCGTGCACCACAGCGCCTGTGTACACCACGCCGCCCATGTACACCACAGCAGCCGTGTGCAACACAGCGTCAGTTTGTGCCACCGTGCCCGCGGACACAACATCTCTTGTGCACACCATAGCGCTTGCGTGCACCACAGCAGTCGTGCGAAATTCAGCACCAGTGTGCACCACAATGCCTTCGTGAATTGCTATGCCTGTGTGCACCACGGCGCCTGTGTGCACCACAGCAAACGTGTGCAACACAACACCATTGTTATATGTAGAATGTTAGAACGGATCCTTCTGACAAAAAAATGGAGCGCTTGTGGATCCCACACGAAAAATCTAAATGAATCCTTATGGACAAAGGAGCCCGGGTGGAATCTACGAGTCTTGTCGAGACAGTCCGCATCACCCGAACCCCTCCCATCTGAGTCCAAGAGGTTCCAGCTAAATTGGTCGTCCGAGAAACAGGTGGACCGATCCAACATATTACCATGCGGTGCGCGTTGAGGAGATGCGGGCATGCGTTGTAGCGCCAGCCCGCACGATAGGGGGTAAGGAGGAGGAGGAGGAGGAGGAGGAAGAGGCGAAGGAGGAGGAGGTGGTGGAGGTGGACGAGGAGGGAGGCGGGAAAAACGCCGCATTCGACTTTCGCACTTTCATGGCGTGGCGTCGACTTCTCCGCATTATAACCCCAGGAAACATTTAAGAACCCCCCCCCCCCCCTTCCGGCAAATCGATAACCCTTCCGCACCCTGGAAACGTTACCTGGCACCAGGAGCTCCTCCTCCTCCTCCTCATCCTCCTCCTCCTCCTCCTCTCCTCCACCCACGAACTTCCTCCTGCCCCCTCCTCCTCCTCCTCCTCCTCCTCCTCCTCCTCCTCCTCCTCCTCCTCCTCCTCCTCCCGCGCCCCCCTCTTTTCCCTCGGGGCCCAACGCCTGTCAGGGCCCAAGTCACCTGGGGTTTCCCTTCTGGGCCTTCTCCTGAGGAGCTGCATGCGTTGCATGAATGCATGAATTTTCCAAGCAGCAAGCGACATCCTGAGTCTTTCATGAGAGCCACGCAGATTCGAATTTCGAATTTCGATTGTAGCCCAGGGGCCAGGCCTCCGCGAATTTGTTGTGTGTCCGGGTGCTAAACCTATCGTGCGGTTGTTTCGGCCCCTCGGAATATCGAATAAAAATGCGGTGCTAAGATATCGCCGGGGGGTTCTGAAATGCTTCTTGGGGTTATCCTCACGTACGTGTTCCTTTTTTACTTGCCCTATGCACGCATGCGTTGTGGTGTACGCCAGCTCTGCATTTCACGCGGGTGCTGTGGTGTAGACGCGCGCTGTCGCGTGCACGGGCGCTGCGGTGCACGCAAGCACTGTGGTGTACACGGGCGTTGTGTTGCACATGGTAGATGGGGTGCCCGTAGCCATTGTGGCTCAAGGTGCCAGTTATCCCGCGAAGCGACGTGGATACCGCTAGTCCGCGGCCATACCCTGCAGTTGTTGCCTCGGTCGAGCTGCGCGCTGCCGAGTGGTCTCGCTCCCCCCTGTTTTGCTCCAGGGCATTTGGCCAGCGATGTCTCACTGGAAGTGCGGTGGGTGCGGTGTTTTCTACCCGCAGGGGCAGGCCAAATGCGCGTTCTGCGAGCACGGGCGGCCCTTGCGATAGGGCGGCCGCCGCGGAGGGGGCGGCAACGGCGGCGGTTCGGGCGGGGGCAGCGGCGGCCAAGGAGGTCGGAAACCCTCGGCGCAGTGGGCTCGGAGTGCCGACGGTCGGCGCCCCACCGCCAACGCTTGGCACCCGCCGCGCGTGGACGACAAGCAGCTCCAGCGCGCGGCCGAGTTGTCAGCCGAGAAGTGGGAGGCCGCCAAGGAGGTCTTCACGCAGGCGCAGGTCGACAAGGTCGAGGCCAGGAGGGCTGCCCGTGCCAGCGGCCTCTGCGCCGCCCGCGAGGCCACCGCGAAGTTCGAGCGCATCGGCAAGAAGCTCAAGGCGGAGGAGGACAAGGAGCAGCGCAGGGCGGCCCACCTCACTGACCGCCTGCTCAAACTGGACGCCCAGCTGGCGCTCGTCCGCGCCCACCGCGAGTCGCGCGAGGAGACCCGTGCGGCTGCCGCCTCGGCCTATTCTGGCGCTGCCCAGCCCCCCGCGGCGGAGCTGCTCGAGAAGGCCACCGCCCTCGGCACCTCGGGCAAGGACCCCGCGGCCCTCGTCGAGGAGCTCCTCGAGCAGGTCGCGGCCTTCGCCAAGGCCTCAGCTGCGCCGCCAGCTGCCGCCTCCGCCGACGCGCCCATGGGCGACGCGGGCCCGCCAGGAGGACGGGCGGCTGCCCAGCCGCAGCAGCCCGCGGTCCCACCGGCAGCGGCGCAGGTCGGGCTCAAGCCCGAGGTGGACGCCATCCGCCTCGGGGCGGTCCTGTCTGCGGCAGACCTTGCTGGCCTTTTTGCCCCCGCTACTGGCGGTGAAGGGCGAGGGCGGCTCGGCGGCGCGATGGCCCTCATGCCTGAGCACGTCGGCAATCGCCGACGCGGATGGCGGCCGCCCAGGCCGTGGAGGCCTGCCCAGCCTCGCCCGCAGGCGCCGCGGCCTCGGACGCTTTGAGGCCGACGGGCTGCGCAGCGGCGTGCTCGCCCCTGGCCGCGCTGCCATCGCGCATAGCGGCGTCATCACAGGGGGCTTCGTGTGGGCCAACGTGCACCTCCACACCGCCGAAGGTTTCTCGGCCGCCAACCTCCTCATCCTGGGCGCGGTGAGGTCGGCGGTGCAGGGCCTCGGTCCCGCCTTCATCATCGGCGGCGACTTCAATCTGCCGCTCGGGCAGATCAACGGCGTTGTCATCAGCCCGCCGGTCGGCGCCTTCAGGCCCCCGGAGCGCGTGATCGACTTCGTTGTGGCCTCGCCGTGCCTCGCCTCGGCCCCCGCCACCGCCCCCCCTGATTGGGGCTTCGGGCCGCGTCGGCCAGTTCTCCTCGAGGTCGCCGCCCGGAAGGGCCAGCCCTTGATCCAGGTCGCGCGGGCGCCCGAGCCTTCCCCGCGGCCGCTCCTTCTGGGCTGCTGCTCCCAGGACAACGAGCCAGCCTGGGCCGACGTCCGCCCCAGGTTGGTCAGCGCTGCCTCTGTGGACGAGGCTTGGAAGGAGGTCATCAGGATGTCTGAAGCGGTCTTGATCGATCGGCGCGGCCTCGGCGAGCAAGGCAGCGAGTTCCGTGGCAGGGATGAGCCGCCCGCGCTGCAGCGGGTGCTCGCCGGCCAGTCCAACCTCCCCCGGCACCCCGAGCTGGGCTCCAGCACGCAGTGGATCTGCCAGTGGGTGTTCGAGGCGCGCAGGGCCGCCTCGCTGAGCACCGCGCGCTCGCGCCTCGACGGGCTGCTCAGCCTGCGCTGGCTCAGCTCCAGGCTGCCGCCCAACGCCGACGTGGACATGGCCGACCAGCAGCGGCTCAACACGTGCAAGGCGCTGGCGCTCATCGGCAGCGTCTTCGACGCCTTCGACGTGCCTGCTGCAGGGTGCCTCGCGGAGCTCGTCGGCGCCATCTCCAAGCAGTGCGTCGAGGGTGCCGTGGAGCTGGCGAGGGGGCGCTTCGGCAACTGGATCGCCCAGCGGCGCGCGCTGGGCGGCAAGGGGCTGCGCGCCTTCACGCGCGAGCCCATGCCTTGGCTCCCTCGCCCGCTGGCCGCCGACGCGCCCGACGGCGAGGGCGGGCCGCCGCTGCCGGCCCCCTGCCGACCAGCAGACCTGCGTCGAGCTGCTCGTCAAGGAGTGGACGCGCCACTGGAACGTCGGCGCCCCCATTGCGCCGCTGCGGTGGCCCGCCGACCTCGGCAAGCGGCGCCCGCGGCCTACCGTCGCCCGCGCGCGCGAGGTCTTCCGCGGCTTCGCCGCCGCCGCGGGCGCGAGCTTCGACGCGTTCTGCCCCCGCGACTTCGACGCCCTCGACGACGGCGGCGTCGAGGCCATCATCGACCTGCCCATGGGGGTCGAGCAGGAGCGCTGCCGGCCCCCCTATCAGCAAGCTCGTGTTCATCAGCAAGAGGGGGGGAGGTGCAAGGCCCACCGCCCTCCTGGCCGCCCCGGCCCGCGCCCGCGGGCGCCCGCGGCGAGGCGTCGCGGTCGCCTGGGGGAGCGCCCGCCCCTGGGCCTTCTAGCGGGCTTGCGCAGGCAAGGCCTGCGAGCGCGCGGTCTGGCGGCAGCTGGCCTGGAGCGAGTGGCTCAAGGCCAAGCGCGTCGAGAGGCCCGGCCTTGACTGGAGCTCGGCGGCGGTCGACCTCGACTTGTGGAAGGCTTTCGAGCAGTGAATTTCCTTGTCCAGGCGGTGAATTTCCAAATCTTCTTCTACCATTTTGCCGCGGGCGCTGGGGCTCAACGGCGCGGTCTCGGACCTCATCGTGGCGCAGCAGACGGCCCTCGCTGGGGACATGTGGGCCACCTTCTTCACGATGCTCATCCTCCTCAGCCCGCTCGACCGCGCCCTGCGGGCATCGCCGAGCATCGCCCCGTCGGTCGTGGTCGACGAGCTGGTCTTTTAGCGGGTTGGAGGCAGCAGGCGCGTGACCGACGAACTCGTCGCCAGCGTCGCCAGCGTCGTCGGCGAGCTGCGCGCGGTGGACGTCCACGTCGCCACCGAGAAGTCGCCCCCGCTGGCCGGCGCGCCCGCGGCGGCCGCGGCGATCGAGGGCCGCCTGGCGCAGGCAGCCAGGGCGCAGCCAGCGGGGGCCGCCCGCAATCTTGGGGTGGACTGGGCCCTGGCTGGGCGGGCGGCCAGGCTCGCCCGTCGGCTTCGCTTCAAGCAGGCCGCGCGGCGGGCCCCTCGCCCCAGGGGGCTCTTGGGCCCAGGGCGCCGCCGCGATGTCGCGGCGAGGATCTTCAGGCAGGGCGCCGAGGCCAGCTTCGCCCACGGCGTCTGCTGCGCGGGCCTCAGCGACGCCGACCTCAACGTCGCGCGCGCGCTGACGTTCAAGTCGGTCGAGATCGGGCCCTCTGGCAAGAGCCGCGCCGCCGCCCTCGCCACCATCGGCAGGGCCTGCGACCCCGTGTTCAAGGCGATGTTCTACCCAGCGCGCATGCTGCACAGGGCCGTCCGGGGGCGGCGGCTCCCCAGGCAGGCCGTGGACAAGGTCTTCACGGTTGCCCTGGCCGCTTCAGGCAGCCGGGCCAACTGCCGCGGCCCCGTGGAGCCGCTCTCCCCCCGATGCGCCGCGCGGGCTGGGGGGCGGCTTCGCTTGGCGCGCGGGCCACGCGCGACGGCTTCCACCGCAGCGCCAGCGACGCCAGCCCGTGGCCTACCAAGAAGCTGCTCGGCCGCAACTGCGAGCACCGGCAAGCCGAGCAGCTCAGCAAGCACGGCGCCTCCGGGCTCGACGTCGGCAACATTTTCGGCCAGCTTCAGGGGTGGGCGGCTAGCGGCCGTGGCACATCCCAGGAAACGCGGAGTTGGTCCAGCCACAGCAGCGAGCAGCGCGGATACCTCAGGCCCTGCATCGTCGACGGCCAGTGGACCAACGCCAGAGAGCACGGCAACAACCCGAGGTGCGCCCCCTCGGACTTATGCGAGCTCTGCTCCGACCAGGTCGGCGACGTCTGGCACAGGCACCTCTGCTGCAGCGCCATTCAGGACCGCGGCCTCAGCCTCCCGCGCGAGATCGCCTTGCTGCTGCCGCAGAAGGACAACGCGGTCGTCAAGTACCTCGTCGAGCGCGTCCTTTTTCCAGCCCCGCGGCCCCAGTGGAGGCGAGCCAGGCGAGCCCTTCGTCGGCCAGCCACTCTACTGCGACGGATCGCTGTGCGACGCGCAGCTTGCCGAAAGCCGCGGCGCGCAGGCCGCGGCAGCGGCCGTCGAGCTTCCCCCGGGCAAGAGGAAGTCGACCCAGGCGCTGGCAGCCGCGCCAATCCGCTGGGCGCGCCTCCGGTCGGGCTCTGGCAGAGCATCGAGGGCGTGGAGCTGCTGCCGGTGCTCATCGTCCTGCGGCGCGCCATCCCGCCAGTCGAGCTGTACTGCGACGCCAGCTTCGTCGTCGACGGCATCAACCTTCGGGGCGAGGCCCGCGCGACGCTGGCGTCTTCAGCGTGGGGGCATCTGGCGGCAGGCGTGGCAGGCGCTCCGCGAGTCGGGCGGCGTCGGCCCTGAGGGGCCCACGATCGCCGAGGTCAAGGGCCACGCCGCCCTCGCCCACGTCGCCCGCGGAATCATCGCGAGGAAGCAGCGCCGCGGCAACTGCGAGGCCGTCCACGTCGCAGGCGGGATCGCCTACCACCTGCGCGCCCAGCTTTGCAGCAGGCGTGGCCCATGCGGCGGCGGCGGCGGCGGCTGCCGCAGCTGCCGACGGCGCCGACAGCCGACTAGGAGAGCTCGGCCCAGATCGTGGCCAGGACCCCGCGCCGAGCGCGGCGGGGCAGGCGCCCGCGACCGCAGGCGCGCGCGGCTCGCCCCGCGGCCGGGGCCCCGCGCCGAGCACGGGGGGCCGGCCGCCCGCCGCCGCGGGGGCCACGGCGGCCCAGGGCGCCGCCGCGGCCAGCGGCCAGGTCCCCTGGGGGCCCGTTGCCCTTAAATTTAAACGTTGGTGTTGTATCCGTTAAATTAAAGGTTGCAAGTTGAGTGGATGTTACTTCATGTGTTGAAATAAAAGGATATCGGAACGCATCCTCTGCTTTTGAGCGTTGGCCAGCTGAACTCACGCGTTGCTTCAATTGACAGCGATTGCGGTCAGGGTTTCGTAATCCGGCTCTGGCGTAGCCGTTTCCCCCCAATGTGGTTGCCCCCGCCCGTAGCGTTTACTTGAACGACGCGTCCGCGCGCAATCGCCGCACGGTCCATGGTGGATCTTACACACCCCCATCAAAATGGGCGGGTTTCCGTCACCTATCATTTGAGTTTTCTGCGACTGACTTTTGTTGACGTGGCAGGCGCGTCGGCGAAATGTGGTGCAGTTGTTTTTTTTGGCCTTTGTGGAAACGAGCCCAACACGCTCTCTTGTTGTACTGGCCGCGGTTCCACGGAATTGCGCGGGGCGGTCGGGGTATTCTTTGTTGTGTCCACACTACGCCGTTCTACTTTTCAAATTCATGTATGGTTTGTATATACCTACTTGTGTTCCGTGGTAGTCAATGTTGCGTCGCGTGCGCACCTCTCAGTGGGTTGTTTGGAGTCGGCGCGCCCACGCTCGGTGAGTGGGTCGTTCTTTCAAAATGCGGTTAGCGTTGTAGCAACGGCTGTGAGCCGTTCGCCCACATCGGCAATTTGTACGCGCGTCGTGGCCCATAGTGGGTTCCAGCAACGGCCCCAACGGGTTGGTGGCATTCGGCCCCGCTACCACGTTTGGCAGACGCTTCGCGCATTTCTGTTTTCCTCTAAGTTCGCTGTTGCGGTGAACTGCGTCGAAAAAATATAAGGAGGAAAAGGAGGGGGAGGAGGAGGAGGAGGAGGAGGAGGAGGAGGAGGAAGAGGAGGGAAAAAGGAGGAGGGAGGAGGAGGAGGAGGATGAGGAAGAGAGGAGGAGGAAGAGGAGGAGAGGAGGGAGAGGGAGGAGGAGGAGGAGGAGGAGGAGGAAAAGGGAGGAGGGAGGAGGAGGAGGAGGAGGAGGGAGGAGAGGGGAGGAGAGGAGGAGGGGGAGGGGGGAGGAGGGAGGAGGGAGGAGGGAAGGAGGAGGGAGGAGGGAGGAGGGAGGAGGAGGCGTCCGAGGAAGCACAGATATTTTGCCTCCCCCCCTTCCCCCGTTCCCCTCCCTTCTTCCTTCTCCCTCCTCCTCCTCTTCTTCTCTTCTCTTCTTTCCTCCTCCTCCTCCTCCTCCCCTTTTCCTCCCTTCTCTCCCTCCTCCTCCTCCTCCTTCCTCTCCTCCTCCTCCTCCTCCTCCTCCTCCGCTTCCTCCTCTCCGTCCCCCTCCCCTCCCCCTCCCCCTCTCCTCCTCCTCCGCTTCCTCCTCTTCCTTCCTCCTCCTCCTCCTCCTCCTCCTCCTACTCCTTCTCCTCTGGATTGGTGATGAAGATGCTGGGTGTCCCTCCGCTGTTGGCTTTGCCTGGTTAGCACTGGCTCGAACTCTCGTCAAAACCCTCTCCTCGGACGCACGAGTCGGCCTTGCAAGCCGTATGTCTGCTCGAATTCGCACAGGACCCTCCGGTGCCAAACGCTCCGGTGGGCAGCTCGAGATATTTTGGCAATCCACCTGTTCAGGCCTTCCTCGAACCAGACTGCCCAACTGCACGGTGAGCCGCTTCCGAGACACATGTGGGCCATATGGGAAAGTTCGTGCACTTTAGGTTTCGCAGCGAGCCCAAAATAGTCCATGACCCGAACTGCTACGAGTGAACTATCCACAAACGATTGAGTTTGTTGTGGTGTAAAATTGCCACGAGGGCACTCTCTCAACAGCTCCCTGATCATCCACAGTGCATCCCCAGCCTCCTTCAATTTGCTGCCGTGCTCGAGGCGCGGTCGAAATTCAACAAGCAAAACGTGCAGAGTAAACTCAAGAACGTAATGTGTTTCAGCTGCGTGGAATCCCATGTTATTGCCTGCACTGCTGCCCATCATATTTACAGTAAGATTTTGGAGGGCCACGACCTCTCTCCCCGAACGACGCTGGATGCCATACCACTCCCAAAGTCTTGCACGAACCTGTTGGGTTACCGAAATGCAGATACATGAATGTGCACGCTCGTTCCTGGGTTATTGGATGTAATCGGGGAGGGTTACCGAGCACAAGACGTGTGTTCACACAGTACGCACCATGCACGTGGACGCACTCACACACTCCTGGACACTCTAACGTGCATTATTTATTGCACAATGTCAATCGCATGAACATGTTACTTGTACACGTATAGTGTGTTGTGCTATTGTTATTTGAATTACCCTACACCTCCTGGACAAACATCTGCTTCCGCACTTCGCCTGTCGACGCAACGTTGCTATGGCCAAAGACGTCTGCACCCATCAATGCGAACCACACCAAAGAAATCCAGAATTGAAACACTCCGAGGGAAAGCGCGTGCATGGGATCTGGAACCATGGCCGCGTCAGGAAGTAGACCCGACAGCTCGGAGAACAAAGGGTTTCGCCTTCTGCACATTGTCTCTTCGGAGCGTCTCCAGAATATGGCTTGGAGCGGGCGGGGCTTCGAATGGAATAGCTCATACCGTTCCATGCCATCTGTCACTTCAAGCCTGTCGCCTCTCTGGAGGCCAAGCGCCTCGATATCTTTCACGAGTGCATACCCCCGCGAACCATCAGGACGCTTGTCAAATTCAAGGGCAGCTCTGACGTAGGGGAAGTTGTCGTTCGTGATGGTGACTCTGATTTCGCATCTAGCACAGGCATGACAGTAATCTGCCCAGCTCTTGAGGCGCCATGGCGTACCAAGTGCACTCAGACCTGCAATGTTCCCCCAGTCGCAGTGCCGACTCCAGCACCTGGGGCAAGGGTTATCACCTGATGATGTCGAGGGGAAGCCTAAAGTGGAGGTGTTTTCCATCAAATCGCCTTTCAGGTGCACGATGGCTAGCCTCCAGGGCAGTGCTTCTCCCGACCTCTCATCGCGGCCAGCGTCGCTAGGGCGCCAGGGCAAACCATCGTGCCGCCTGGTCGGCTCCTGTCCAGTAGCCCCGAGTTCGACGCCCCACCCAAGTGCTTGAAGGAAGCAAAAGACAGTGCACCACGATCTGCACCCACATGCGCACATTTCAGACTTTCTCAGAATACCAACTAAAGCAGGGACCTCTGTAAGCATGTTGACCATGTAGCAACACAGGGCCCCATCGTGCCGCGTAAAGGGCACGCCGTCGAAATACAGGGTGTACGGATATACGGGGACGCCTTCTGGCGCGTTAAGCATTGCGGGGTGGCGGAAATACTTCTCGGGTAGCTTGCCCAATTGGCGAGCTTCGTCCAGCTTCTCTGGCAGGTTTGGATCAGCTTCAACTTCAGACCGCACGACATCGAGAGGCAGAACGATCGGTACCCACTCGTTGCCTTGATTGTGATCGGCACGACGATAAACAGGCATGTTCACTTCGTAGCGTTGTGCGGCCTCATCCATGTCGACGCTCGTTGCTCTGTCAAACGTCCGTGAAAAATGAGAGCCATCAGGAGGAACTGCTAGCCTCTCAACTGTGCCTTTGAGCCCTGCTGTCTTGGCCCAGAAGGATATGACACAAGCTTGCTTTGCGCTGAGCACAGCAGTTCGCTTGAGGTGAATTATGTAGTTAGCAAGTTCTTCAGATGCCTCCTCAGCCGAAGTGTTACTCAACGGAGGCTCGTATGAATCATCGCCGCTGTCGAAACCCAATGCAGCAACTGCGTCAGACCAGGGATCGTGGCTCCAAGGGTCTGGCATAGAAGATCGCACGACGCGAAGTGGCCTGACAAGCTTGGGCCAAAATGTTCCACGGACGGTTTGCGCTGATTTTGTCTACCCCAAGTTTCGAAGCGCCCCAGCTAACGATAATCAAAGGATGGGGCCGAACTCGTAGTGCGTTTGATCGTTATTGTTGATGTCGCTGCTGTTGGTGTTGCTGTAGCTGTTGCTGCGTTTGCGGGCGCTCTCACGGTGATGCTTGTTGCCATGGCTGCTGTTGTTGGTGTCCGTTTCCTCACCCTCCCGCCCTTGGGGGCCGAACCATTGCAGACGAGATGACGAAGTCTGGTTACGCGGCTCGGGACCGTCCACGGCCTCCAAGTGTCAAGAAACGGAGGTGGAGCGGCGGAGAGTGCGAAGGGGGGGCATGCGAGTAGGAGAGGGGCGGCGGCAAGGAGCAGGAGGAAGAACAGGACGCACGAGAATGAGCGAGATGGTTTGCCTGGTCAAAACCAGCACATCCAGATAGCGTGACACAACGCAGAGTACATGATACGAACGCAGACGAGGCTCCCCTATCTCGTCAGCCCCTCGCCACAGCGTGCAACCGATTCGATTCTGCCTTTTATCTCAGTGCCTGCCCTGGCGCCATGGCCTCTCAGCTCCCAAACAAAAAACTCATGATGTGTTGGTTTCCAAGGGTCCTTCAGAGTTTCACTGAGTTTCACTGGAGTTTCACTCCGATGAAACTCAAAGTGAAACTCCTTGGGATCAGCGTTTCGCCTGATACATCCTCACAAAATCATAGTTTCATCTGAGTTTCACTCGGAGGAGTTTCACTGAGTTTCACTCGAGTTTCACTCGCTGGTTTTTGGGCTCGCGCACGTCCAGACCAGGAAACCAACCTGAAATCTTAGATCATACCTTACAAACCCTTCGAAGAAGCAAGAATCGAACGACACTACGTCAATAGTGTCTCGTGGGCACACTTCTGCCCCAGCGAGTGACCAAATCTCACTCAAGGCTCGTCAGGGCGAGCGGCGTGCATGCGCGTCAGCGTCGCGACCTCCTTCTGCAGCCTCTGGATCTTCTTATCGAACTCGGCGATGCGACCCAACTCCTCCAAGGCCTCGTCCTCGGTGTACTTCTTGAGAGTCGTCGAGGCGAAGTTCTGAGCCACCGTCCAGTCCTTCCAGAACTGCGACGACTCCTTGAAAGCAGTGATCTGCGTACGAGCCTCCCGGAGAGCAAGAAGAGTGTGCTCATTGTTCGCCCAGCTCCACTTCT